TAGTTTAGCATTTGCTGAACCGTACATACATAACTATGCTTTTTCCTTTCATAAATACTCTTTTGCCTATCACACTGCTGCCCTTACACAATGTATGTCACAAGGAAAACTAAATCTGAAAATGAGCAGAATAGGAGAAAGGGTGTAGGGAATGTAATGCATTTTATATAAAATCTAAAGCACAATTAACATTGCTTTCTTCCATTTCTATAGTTGACATTGTTTTGTTCTCTAACTCAATTTTATAAAGAAATCTATGTTTACTGAAAGGGGCATACTCTGTATGTCCCTTTCAAAGGGCAGCAGGATAAATGTTATAAATTCATACTCTGGACTCAGTTCTTAACTAGAGTTGAGCTTCCTTTTATTATGTTGTTCATGTGGCAATAATTTGGCAAGATATTCATCAAGAAATCCAGTTGTATAATTTGAGGTTGTGGTTGCTTATTTGTAGACATTTTATATATACATTTTCCCATTAACTTCATAGTATATAACAGGTTTCTTTTTCTCTGTATACTAATTTTGCACAGGAAGTCTTTGTAGTTCCTTTCATCTTTAAACTTCAGTAAGAATTTTATAGTACTAAATAATTTATAATACAGGCTATATTTCCCATATATTATTCATCCTCAGATATGTCATATGTGAAATGTGGGATTTTGAAATTCTTGTTTTGTATTATTTTAAATAACATTGAAGTCTTTAATTTAAAATTTATATCTTTATTAACTTATTATCTCCTTAATAAGTATTTTTAAATGACCCTTTATTGAGACAAAGGACCAATACTTTTGAAAACTTGTTCGCTTTCAATTTTCATAATTGCTGAATACAGGGATTGAGCCTTTAATATTTTCTTCAAATAGAGTTTTGGAAATGCTCCTTCAGTCCATACATTAATGGAATGACCCATTTCTTGTCTTCAACCCCTCCATATGTGCAGAAAATTTGCCTTTTCTTTTGCTTATTATGCCTTTATTTCTGCTTGAATGTCAGTCATATAATCCAATGTCATTTATGTCTTGAGTTATATGGCCTTTTTGTTTTCAATTTGGCCATCCCTGATTATAATTTTGAATTCATAAAAATACCAGTAGAGATGAATAAAATACTTTCTAGGTACATCAATATCTACATTTAGGAACATGGCACACTTGTACTACTAGCTACCAGAGAGGCTAAGATCCAGAGTATCATGGTTCAAGGTCAGTAGAGGGAGATAAGTCAGTAAGACTCCATCTCCAAAACAACTAGCAAAAAGCAGGGCTGGCTGGGTGCCAGTGACTCATGCCTGTAATCCTAGCTACTCAGGAAGCTGAGATCTGAGGATCAAGGCTCAATGCCAGCCCAGGTAGGAATGTCCGTAAGACTGTAATCTCCAATAAACCATCAGAAAACTGGAAGTGGTGCTGTGGCTCAAGTGGCAGAACGCTAGTCTTGAGCTGAAAAGCTGAGGGATAACACACAGGACCAGAGTTCAAGCCCCATGACCACCAAAAAAAAAAAAAAAAAAAGAATCGGGCTGAAGACATGGCTTAAATAGTAGAGCACAAGGCAGGCAAGCTGGACATACAAGGCTCTGAGTTTAAACTTCAGTATAGGCAAAATAAAAATAAATGAAAATAAAAACCTACATTAAAGACATTAGGACATAAAACTTCAATTTAAAACACCAGTCATTTAATAAATAGAGGAAGATTTGTTGTTTACACACATGATGTATTACACAAAACACTAAGCATTCATATAGTGAGACTAAAGGAGGATATTAGGAGAGGATCAGAAAGACTCAATAGCTATGTGCATATGATTATAAAAAAATATGTTTATTTAAATGAACCCCAAGAAATGGAAACAAGAGGTTTTTGTTGTTTTGCTTTTTGGTTTTATTGTTTTTCTCTTTTGTCTCTTTTTGTTTTCTGTATCTTTTCTCTTGTATGTAAGTTTATCTATTTGAGGGAGTATAAGGAGGAGTTCAGAAATAGTGGGAAAACAAAGGTGAACAAATGAAGCAGTGATACTCAATGAACTAGTGAGGGGGTGTCAAAAGGGAAAACAGAGAAAATGAGGGAAGAGGTGCCACTGTTCAAAAAGAAATGTACTCACGACCTGACTTATGAAATTTGAACCCCTCTGTACATGACCTTTATAATAACAATAAAAAATTGATAGTTTAAAAACATGGTTTGTGACCATAACAATCCACAATCTAATTTGATTTGAAAACAATCTAATCTGATTTGAAAACCTTCAGCACTTCAATAATTTTCATATTTTTAATCTTAAAATTATTATCTTTAAGTAGTTGTACAAAGTATTTGCCTTTTAACAAAGCAGATTATGAACACAATGTATCTTGAGCAGTGTTACCTCTTTCAACATTCTCAATCACACTCTCAATCTATCTTTTCCCTCATTTTTCTTAATTTTATAAGATACACATTAGACGATTGACTTCATTCCCTCCCCAATTTCTGCTTTACTCCATACCACTCCATACCCATTTTTTGTGTTTCTTATTTGACCCTTGATACAGCCTTTATATGGGATTTATACTGAATCCTGACCAGAATCTACCTACAGAAAACTGAAACTAGATCCCTACCTTCTACCAGTATCAATTCAAGACCTGAACTCATGAAACTATTACAGGGACAAGTAGGAGATATACTAGAATTTTTTGGCACAGGCCAGATCCAAAAGCACATCAACTCAAAGAAAGTTTTGATAAATAGGATTGTATCAAACTGAAACATTTCTGTATGGCAAAAGACATAGCTAATAAACAAAATCCCCCAGCCTACAGAAGGGAGAATATTGCCACCTATACATCAATATAATAGCCTACTATCCAGAATGTATGAAGAGCTTGGAAAATTAAATCTCCAAAGAATCAGCAGCTCAATTCATAAGTCTAATGAATACTATAATTCTTAAAGTGTTTCCAAAAACTGCTAACTTAACTCATCTTTCAATAAATCTATGACTATTATAATTCTTAAAATGTTTCCAAAAATTGCTAACTTAAATTGTCTTTCAATAAATCTACTACCTTATTTGGGGCAGATGCCTGCAGAGAAAGAATTTGAGTGAATAGGAAGAATAATTAATTCCATCCACTTATCTTCTGCCATAAAGAGCCTCCCATTTTATACAGAAGTTTATAATTATTTTTCAAAACAAGAATACATTCATTGTCCTGCTTCACAAATGGGAATAAATATTCACTTCCAAACTTCATAGATGTGGAGGCAGAGAAGGCTTCTGCTTTCTTCCTGTTGTATTCACTTAAAGAGTACAGCTATGACAAATTGCTTCCTCCATGCAATCATGTTTGATGTGGCAAATGGTGCTTTTGTATATTTTCAAATTTTCTAATTTGATATCTGTTTTCTCTGAATAATTGCAGATATTTTAAAAGTTTGTAACTATTTTTTTTAGAAATTCAAATCCTACTCTGTTCCTTTAAACCAGCTTCAGAGGAAACCTGATCCAATTTGAAATAAATATTTGGAGTTTAAAATAAGAGAATCCTCAGAATAAGAAAAATATCAAGCAGCAAAAATATCTTAGGAAGTAAATATTAATTATGCAAATATAATTGTAAATATAATAGCCACATTAATATCTCTTAATAATATTAATAATACATGAAGATTTCCTTAAATGAGTCTTTTTATTCAGCAATGGAATGATTGACTAATCATTTTTTACTCCACTAATTTTCTCAAGGCAAATATTATCTAAAATATACCTATTATGTAATCAATGTCAACTCATTTCATCTTATAGTATCTTATTATATGAATACATATTTGTATAGTACATTATTTTTTTAAATACTGAGACAAAATCATTTGTACATGCAAAAATTTAATTATGCCTCTCAGATGTGTTCTTTTAATTAACTGGTGATATTTCCTTTGTTCAACTATTATTGTTCTACACAACTGTCATAAACTTATAAATTTTAATTAAGGCTGCCCCAAGCCCTAGTTATATAGTGTCCACACAGGAATTTGCCAAAAGGCTTAACTGTAAGTAAACCAATGATGAATAAATCCATGAATTGCCCACTGGGATTTGTCTAACAATTTAACATTTGTGTGGAGATAATGAGTTTCTACAGTCTGTAATACTAAGCAATGTTTTTATAAAACCACACTTTTAAAAGTGAAAATAGCCTTGTAAATTACTTAATTAGATATCATATTAGTAAATTTTCCACTCTATAAGACAATAAACTACATGGCTATGTCTCAGGTTGAATTCATAATTATTCAACAATGAATTATTATTGGTAAATTAAAATAGATTTTTCTTGAACATATATAATCTATGGAATTCAAGATCAAATAATTTGTGTCCCTAAAGGTAATAAATATATAGTTAATAAATTTAATAGGGAAAGATCTACATGAATGATTTGAAGACAATATTACATTTGCGATGATCACGTATTCAATTCAGGATCCAAAACAGGGCAAACAAATTAAATCCATTGGAGATTGAACACAGTCATATTTTATCATTTTAGGTGGTTTATTGGTTTAAATATATCTAAAAGTACTATTAAGTACTTGAAATACATTTATCATCAATGAGTTGTAAGTCATAAATATGTCACTAAACTTCTTCGAAAATTATTCTTTATTTGGCCTTATGCTAAGTATTTCAAAGAATACCATAAGCAAGGAAGACAGTGAGAACACTCTGGAGGATAAAAATGTAACCATGTAGGGGATGTAAGGACTGTATACATTTAATTTTCCATTTGACTAACTAAATTTGAATTCGTGATAGTAAAGGTAAATGCACATAGATTAAAATTTAATAGTTGCATAATGCCCCTCTGCACTGAATTTGGGAATTCACAAATTATATCTTTATTGTATTTATAGTATATTATATTTGTAATACTTGTAATACAAAGCATTTAATATTTCACATATAAAAATACAAGTGATCTAAATTTGCAAAAATGCTCAGATATTTACCCAGAACTGATGGTACGCACGTTCCTCCATTTTGACAGTAGTTACTACAGTGGTTAACTTCACATCGTTCTCCTGAATAACTAGGCCAACAGTGACACCTTAAATCACCCTTCTCATTTAAAATGCATCTCCCTCCATTTTCACAAGTCAGTTTGCAAGAATCATCTGATTATATGAAAAAAATAGATTAGCACATCATTCAGGGTTTTTAAAATAAAGGTAATTCAATTAGATACAAATACTTAAATACTAGATTTTTTCATAACAAAACATATCTAAGAATAAGTTAAAAACAAATATACATTGGCTGCAAAGGAAGGAATAAATTTTCATGGTTCAAATGTGAATAAAAATATTAAGTGCATATTTGACCTGAGTTAAAAAGTTAACAACCTTTTACATTTGTTAAATAATATGCAATTAAACTAAATTAAACTCTCTAACAATAAGATACTTCAAATGTAAAAATTATCTTTGTTTGAATGAATATTTTTGACAGGTTAAATAAAATTGAAATAAGAAAGACACATGTAAAATATCTGTATGAAATTAACACCATATAATTCTCTATAGTAAAATTAGCTTTTCCTATAGAAGAATGCTAAATTTAAAAATTCTTTGATGTTACCCCTTATTAACCATGTGAAAATATTCCAAGGCATAAGTATTCCAGATTTGGTGTTTAGATGTACATAGAACAATGTCAAAATCATTTACATCTTTGACATTTGTCATAGTCTATCCACTTAATAATTTTTTGGCTAAGGAAAAGTAATTTCCACTTTCTGGGGCAGCCAAATTGTCTTTAGCAATAGGGTTTTATTTATGATAATGATTAATTTGGAGTCATTTTCTAGTTTGTTTTGCTATGCATATTGACATAGATTTGCTTCATTAGAAATACTGTTTTAAATTTTCAACTTTCAATGTTAAATGGATCTAAAATGTCTGAGAATAAAAGCATCCTATTGTAAAAATTTCCTTCCACTTAATTTTTATCTGTTATATAGTGCAATTAACTGAAACAACACAGTTCATGTTGTTTAATCAGAATATATTGCTGAGTACAGGGCAAAAAATTAATTATACCAATGTAATGGACACAAAGCCATCTTAAACAGACTTAGTAAATTCTTGGTTAGGTGGACAATAAGAGTGGTCTAATATGAACCAGGTTTCCATTCTAGTTTTGCATTTTTCTGAACCTTAGTTACTTTACTGCAAAATTGTCTTAAGTGACCAGGGAGTCATGGTGCACACATGTCATCATAGAACTTGGAAGGCTAAGGTAAGAGGAATATTCATTTGAGACCAATCTGGATTGCAGAATAAAACACTGTGAAAAGATGGAAAAAAAAAAAACAAAAAACAAAAAACAACATAAAATTCCTTGAGACTATTAAATTATATTTTAAAAAATGAAAAAAAAGTAAAGTACCAAAGTCTTTTAATTGGTAAGCACCTACATGGACACATAGAAACCAAATAGACAATATACATAAAGTTTGGTTTTTAGATATTCCAGCTATTTACCATGTCTAGAAAAGTGAAAAATGAAATGATAGTATTTGGATTTGTTAGGGGAATTCCTAAATTTCAATAGGCATTTGACTGCCGATTTGATGCAGACACCAAAGAACACTACCTTCTGGAAGTCTTTCCTATGTGCCCAAAATGTACTGAGGATAAAGCTTAAGTAAGAAGTAAATGTAAACCAGGCTCAGGTGGCTCACGCCTGTAATCTTCTACTCAGGAGGTTGAGATATGAGGATCATGGTTCAAAGCCAGCCCAGGCAGGAAAGTCTCTGAAACTTTCATCTCCAATAAACCACCAGAAAACCAACCGGAAGTGGCCCTGTGGCTCAAGTGGTAGAGTACAAGCACATGGGCCCAGAGTTCAAGCTCTAAGGCCAACCAAAACAGCCACAACAATGAAAAACAGAAAACAAAAAACAAAAACAAGCAAACAAACAAAAAACAACTATATGTGAGCCTGGTACCAGTGGCTCATGCCTATAATCCTAGCTACTCAGGCGGATCTGAGCGTAAGGGTTCCTAACCAACTCGGGCACGAAATTCCATGAGATTCTTGTCTCCAATAATTACCCAGAAAAAGCCTGAAGTAGTGTTGTGGCTCAACCAGTGAGCATTAGAGCACAAACAGGCTCAGGGACAGTGCCCAGATCCTGAGTTCAAGCCTCAGGATTGGCAGGGGGGAAAAAGAAAAAAAAAAGTAAAAAGGCCAGTATAAGGGGAAGTGAATGAAAGTCACTGGGAGATAACCTGGGATTGAGTGTAAAGGAAAGAATTTTAAAAGTATCTCTGGAGAAATAAACAGATAGAGTCAGAAAAAAATGGCTAGATTTTGGGTTTACTTCCCAATATAATGTGAAGACTTTTTTAAGGGCCTCAGAAAATTGAGAATGAACACACTGGAAGCTGTGAATCTTAAAAAAGGGAGGTAGTTACGACTTTATTAAGTTATCCTTAGGAAAATGTTGTTTTAGAATACAGTAACTTAATTAAATATTTAATTACCATGAGAGAATTTTGTTGTAAAAATCACATCAGTGATATATATTAAGAGAATAAGAAAAAAACAGTGTTATTCTTTATTTATTGACCAAGATAGCAGTGTGGGAACATAAAGATAATGAAAGAAATTTAGCTATGATCATATTTAATTGGTGATGCTTTTACAAATAGATAATAGGAGTCTTTAGCAAAAATTTGATGTAGGGTGAGATTCTAAAGAAATATGTAGAGTGAAAATGCCTTCACTCAATTTAAAATTTACCAAAATATTACTAACTCAGCAAAATATATCCTAATAATTACTAATGGTATTAACAAAGACAACTACTTAAAGCACTATGATCATGGTTAGCATTATTGTGAATAGATTCATTTTCACCTGAAGTTCTTATATATAAGCCACGTCAATATTCAAAATCCTTATGTGTCATTTCCACAGTTCACCTCATTAGGCACCAGAAATTTAAAAATAGGATGTTGCCTGATGAAATGGAATTGAGTTATACTTTTATAAACAACTTATAGTAATACTTCTATGATGAGGAAAGAAGTCTGCTTTTGTAAATAAGTTACCCCTAAAAGTCAAATCCCAGAAATTACAATCAACTATACAAAAGAGGAAGTGAACTCTTTACCAGGAATGCATTATATTTGAATGTCAATTTTCTTACATGAGCATTAAAAATATTCAGTATGCTCACCATTTAACAGTAGTAGCCAGAGAAAATCAAGTAATTATATAAACCAACAAAACTTGACTCTAGTAAATGTTAGTGTTGGGAAAATTATTATTTTTTATTGTGAAAATACTGTACAGAGGGGTTAAATTTTGGGGGGTGGGGTCCGGTTGTGGGGCCTGAACTCTGGGCCTGGGCGCTGTCCCTCAGCTCTTTAGCTCAAGGCTAGCGCTCTACCACTTGAGCCACAGCGCTACTTCCGTTTTTTTTTCTTTTTGCTTATGTGGTGCTGAGGAATCGAACCCAGGGCCTCATGCATGCAAGGCAAGTGCTCTACCACTGAGCCACCTTCCTAGCCCCAAATTAACCATAATTTATCTACACAAATCTACAATTCAAAAATCCACTTATTTATCTTGCTATTTGGGAATGATTTATTTGTATTTTATTTTTTATTTTTTTAAAATTTTATTTTGTTAGTTGTGGGGCTTGAACTGTGGGCCGGGTGCTGTCCATCAGCTCTTCAGCTCAAGGCAAGCACTCGACCTCTTGAGCCACTGCACCACTTCTGGTTTTCTGGTGGTTATTTGAAGATGAGAGTGTCATGGGACTTTTTTTTTTTGAAAATGTAATTCTTAAAACAAAACAAAAAGTGTTGAAGAACAAAATACATTACTACATGAAATGTCTCCATGAGTTAATCAGAGTGCTCACTTTATTCATTGATGCTCCCAGCACATTGAAATTGAAGTCTCTCTGTCTGGGAAGTGACTTGGTAGAGAGAAGATGATCATCAGCTTCCAGTGACATCATCTTGTCAATAATTGACACTAGTATGCTCACCCAAAACAATAAACCTTACTGACATGTGGACCTCTCTTAAGAATTTTTTAAACTTGCTACCTACAATGCACTCGTCCCATACTACATATTAACTGAAATGAAAGATTCATTATTTACTTTACATATTGTTTGTATATCCCTCAGATGACTCCCTTCCCTGCCTCCCTCCTCTCTGTGAATGTGATGTCTTTGCAGATGTTATCTGAAAGTCATATCCTGTAATGAATTCAAACTAATCCTATAATTATACAACCACTCAAATCCTGTTACTTGTTTTAAGAAGGTTCTGTCATAGCTAGCATAACCCCCCACAAAAATATCCATTAATGGTGTTTCTGCGATTATTTCATCTTTTTAACTTCTTGAGTTTTTCATGTACTGTGCTTAAAGATTTTATATTCAAGGATAGACTTATGATGGTTTTAAACATAGAATGCCATATAAAAGCAAGTGTCTTCAACCTTTATAGGACCCGCAGTAGAGAACAGGAGAAAACTATATAGTCAGAAGAAGCTGAATATGGGTAAAAATGTCCAGGTGAGAGTTAATTCCAACAGAGGAAAATATAATGAGTAAAAACATTATTATGAAGAGGTCCAATGTTTGTATCTGATGAGAAAATGTTTGTTGTGATACACAAATGATAGAGCATAATGTTTATGTCTTTGTCATAAAATTTAGCAAGCATTGGGCTGGGAAGATAGAACAGTGGTTCTATGCTTGCCTTGCATTCATGAGGCCCTGGGTTTGATTGTTCAGGACCACATAAACAGAAATAGCCAGAAGTGGTGCTGTAGCTCAAATGGTAGAGTACCTGCCTTGAAAAGCTGAGGGACAGTGCCCAGGCCTAGAGTTCAGGCCGCAGGACTGACCAAAAAAAAATAGCAAGCATTAATTTTCCCTTCAAGACATTTTTCCCTATATAATGTCTTTATTATGTGAGAATTTATTGCCAAACTGTGCATTGTAGAAACAGTTTTTCCCTATCTGGCATATTTTTATATTTTATTTTATATTCGCTATTTAGCATGTAGTTTCTGAAATGATATCCTAGTTTTTTTTTATTATCCTAGTTTTTTTTATTATTCATCCTTAAACCAAGCTTTTTTTTTTTTTTTTTTTGGTCGGTTGTGGGGCTTGAACTCTGGGCCTGGGCGCTGTCCCTCAGCTCTTCAGCTCAAGGCGAGCACTCTACCACTTGAGCTACAGCGCCACTTCCGGTTTTCTGGTGGTTTATTGGAGATAGGAGTCTCACGGTCTCTCCTGCCCAGGCTGGCTTTGAATCGCGATCCTCAGATCTCAGCCTCCTGAGTAGCTAGGATTACAGGCGTGAGCCACCAGCGCCCGGCTTAACCCAAGCTTTTAAAGTTTAAATTACATGAACTAATCCTATCGTTTGTTTTCTAAATTAATGTTATCCTTTGCTCATTAGTCTACAAGATATTTATTTATTGTCCTTACTCTTATTATTAGTAAAATAATTGTAAGTAAAATTTTACCTCAAAATCTGAGACTTCATTTCTCAGCTAATCATTGGTTTCCAACTTAATGTTTAACATACAGGATGAATTAAAAACAAATTACTGAATTTCGAGTTCTGGGCTTAAAGCCATCACAGAATATGATACATAAAAATGTCTTTCAAAATTCTGAGCAAAACTTCAAAGTTCTCAATCTGAACAACAAAAAGCAGAATAGATTTCTAAAAAGTGAGGAGAAAGAAGTTTACAGAAAACCTTCCAGCTCCATGAGTACTAAGGAAGTGAATGATGATGGAGAAGGTAAATCTGCTCCATTCCAATAGTTATGAAACTTATAACTGATGATAACTGCTGGGTTTTTTTGCTTGTTTTTATAGAATAATAGACAATACCTACCTAACACGATGTCATCATCACAGGTTCCATTAATCAAATATTTTCCTTCTGGGCATACACAGGTGGCTCCAGAAGGATTCAGCAAGCAGAGGAAATCACATGATAAATCCAAGCAAGGATTAGGTACTGATAAAAGAAGGGGGAGGAGGAGAAATGTAATATGCAAGAGAAGAAAAGAAACAAAAAGAATAGAGTGCAATAATATTCACAATAGGTTGCAACAATGTAAAATTCAAGTATGCAAAATTACAAGTTTGAAATGTTAACAAGAAATAACATGTTAACAGAGAGTATCTTATTCCAATGTTAGCATTTTCTTTTACTCAGGAATACAAATCACCACCAAAACACATACAACTCAAACATTTTCTCTCATTATGCTCCTCTAAGAAGGGAAGTTATTCAAATCTATATTTTTATCCCACTTTTTTGCAACTAATTCATTTCTGGTTTAAAAATGGTCTTAGAACCTGAGAAGTCATTTACAGCTGTGTTTAAAAGTGAAGCTAGCGTTCTAGGACCTATTCTACATTTTAATCTTCAGAAGACTACTCTAGCAAACAGATAATATACCCACTGTCTTGAAATGCATGTACATTTGTCAGTTCAAAATAGACAAAAATAAGTCTTTCATAGCACATGTTAAACAGGTTTACATCATAGAATTAGGAGTTTTCGTCCCTGTGTTAAATGGGGATGACACATACTTTTGTACACATTTCTACCAAGTCAGCATCATTCACTTTAAAGTGGATTCAGAGCTTTCCCTAGGGATTATTTCAAAACAATGAGCAGAAATGTCACCTCCATGGCTGAGTTAATACCTGTGAAAATGGCTCTTTCTTAAGAACCACTGCTCAGATGCCTACTATATTTAAAACACAGATTAATTACACAATTTCTTTGCTAATTGTGAATCTGGTAATATATCATTTTCTATATGAATCGGGCAGATTTAGAAGATTAGAGGGAATGCCTTTATATTTACTTGGAGCCATAATATAGATTATTCATAAAGAAAAAATAAAAATTTGGGGAGGATATATAAAACTACATTTTTATTTAATCTTTTCCAAAATTAATTTGTGGTCTTTTATGATAAGTACGTTTTTTTTTCTTCTAAAGAATACTTATAATTTTACCCAATATCTTGAACTAACACTTCATTAGCTGTTTTTGTTGTTGTTGTTGTTGTTTCCTGACGGTCATGGCACTTGAACTCTGGGCGTGGGTTCTGTCCCTCAGCTCTTCAGCTGAAGGCCAGCACTCTACCTCTTGAGCCACAGCGCCACTTCCAAGTTTCTTGTGGTTAATTGGAGATGTGTCTCAGGGACTTTCTTGCCCAGGCTAGCTTGAACCACGATCCTCAGATCTCAGCCTCCTGAGTAACTAGGATTACAGGCTTGAGCCTAACATTTCATTAGAATTTCATATTTAGTTTGCATCTTTAGTATGTTCTTCAATGTGTTTGATACATATTTTCAAAATAATTACCTCATATTTATTTTCCTACTGAATTATTGAAGAAAGAAAATATGATAATAAATCATAAGCTATCATTCAGAGAAAATCAAAATATTAAGATTTCTCCTTGAACATTGTAAAGGCTGAAATAGTTACTTGGTTACTGGTATAAGTTACAAAATAATTACCAAGTCAATTTCTTTATTTTCATGATTTTATTAATAATATTGAAACACAATGATGAATATTCTAATAATGAAATCATGTCAATTTCAACTCTTGGAAAACACAGTCAATTGCTGAAAAATCTCATTTATTGAAGTCATTGAAACTTTTGTATTATCTCTAACTTAAATTTTTAAAATCTGTTGATAATATCACAGTTAAGTGTACTACACTAACAGATACTGAAATAGTTAAGGCATTTTAAAATCCATTATTTTTTGAGGTATAGGAAAATAATCCACCCATACAGAAAACTTTATAAAACACACTACTTACAGTCTAGTTGTTTATACTGATGAGATATGAGGACTCCCTTTGTTTTATCAACATCTAAAGCCAGGTACTTGACTGAGCCGTGTCCATATTTTTGTACTTGAAATACACCATTTTTAGGTCCTGCTCCATATATATAATCTTCAAAGATATCAATCCTATGTGGATGTAATAAACCTAGAATTTAAAGAAGACTGAGATTATCAGTATTGTGATTTATATACTCAGATTTAGAAAAATACTTATGTCATTCAAGTTTGTGCAGAAAAATCATCACATAAAAACCATGTTTAAGATTTAGCATATTTTTAATACAGGCTGTGAAGTTGTTAGAATTAATATCTTGGCAGTAGAGATATGTGAGAGACTAGACATGTCACTCAGAACATAAAAAAGAAAATATTTCTCTTATCACTTTCACTATCTTCAACATTACCAAGCATTTTCTGAGGGTCATTAAATGCAGAGTAATCTTCTTAGCTACATAGTTAAAGGACAAGTATCTGCACACATTTACTTCTCCCATAGCACAGGCACTGGCAGTTCATGAAACTTTAAAAAAATAGTCTAAATCACATGAATAATTGTGTTAGATTCCGCAGATGACTTGTTTTTCAAGCAATCATGGGCTTTTTTTTTTCAAAAATAAAATAAGTAAAAAATTGTCATGCTACAAATGTACATCTCTAGTCCCAGCACTTGGAACACTAATACAGAAAAGTTATGAATTTCATACCATGCGTAACATAATAAGTTCCAAGCCGGCATGGCCAAGATAGCAAGACCCTATCTCAAAACAGAAACAAACATAAAAAGGAAATTACAATTGTCTGTGTAAGAAATAGGATTAAAAGTTAAAATAAACTTGCAAAATCACCACAGGATTATCATTTTGGCTAAAAATAGTATTGATGCATCATATATTTGAACATTAACTACAAATTACTATTAACTTTTTATTGAAAGAATTATTAGCTCAAATGTTTATACTGAAATTTTAGCAAGAAAAGTGTATTTATTTTCTATGAATGATCTATAGATTTTAAATCACAAAATAATGTTTATGAGTATCTAGAGTTTTCGTCAAAGTTTCTTGTGTAGTAACATATACATTTAAGCTAAATTTGGCTAATTCTTCATGGTAGTAAGTTATAGGAATGTGGAAACATATCTCTACATAATTATAAATAATGATAAAAGATAACAACCTAAGATTGGTGCAGCAAAACTATATTTTTAAAGTTTTTTTAATTTTACAAATATTCAGAACTAAAAATTAAAACTAATTTTATGCAAGATTATATGTAAAATATTATTACTATTAGGATTTTTTTCGGTAGTGGGGCTTGAACTCTGGGCTTGGGTGCTGTCGCCGTGCTCTTCAGCTCAAGGCGAGTGCTCTACCACTTGAGCCACAACACCACTTCTGGTTTTCTAGTGGTTTATTGGAGATAAGAGTCTCATGGACTTTTTTGCCAGGGATGGTTTTGAACCGTGATACTCAGATCTCAGTCTCCTGAGTAGCTTGGATTATAGGTGTGAGCCACCGGCGCCTGGCTATTAGTTTTAAAGCTTCAGATTTTGGAGTTTTAGAAATATCATCAAACTAACCAAATATATAAAATTAAAGAGTTTCTGCACAGCAAAGGACACAGTTACTAAACTAGAAAGACAGTCAACAGACTAGCAGCTGTTTACCAGCTATACATATAAAGATCTAAGATCCATTACCTATAAGGAGCTAAAAACTCACCCCTGGCAAGTTAACAACACAAACAAATGAATCAATGGAGACTTCTCAGAAGAAGTACAAATAGCTTATAAACATAAGAGGAAATGCTCAACATTCCTGACCATAAAGAAAATGCAAAATCAAAACCACATTGAGATTCACAGTTAGATTGGCCAACATTGGGAATTTGAAAAATAAAATTAAAAAATAAAATAAATGCTGCAGGACTGTAGGGGCAAAAGTAATGTTATTACACTGTTGCTAGGAATGTGAACTAGTGCAAACACTCTGCATGGTGGTTTGGAGATATCTCAAAAACTAAACATGGCAACATCTTATGATTCAGTCATACCATTATTAAGCATTTATCCAGAGCGTTACAAGTCAGGATACAGTAAAGACAACTTCACATCCATGTTCATTCTGAGCTATTCACAATAGGTGAGTTGTGGAAACAGCCCAGATGTCCTACAACAGATGAGTGGATCCACATGTAGTACACATATCCAATGGAATTTTACTCATCCATTAGACATTATAGTATTATGTCATTTGCATGGAAATGGATGTACCTAGATCAAATTGTTTTAGGTGAATTAAGCCAGGCTCAGAGAGAAAAGCTACACGTATTTTTCTCATGTGTGGAAACTAGATCTAAATTCCAGTTAAGCATGATAACATATCCAGGGCTCAATACATTTATACTCCACTTGTGTATAAAGGACAGTACATCTTGAGGAAGAATTTAAAGGCATACTTCTTCTGAATGACTAAAATATTATTTATCAAAATGAATACTAGGAAATGAAAACATGTATTTTACTTATTTCATTTTTGAGGGAGAAAATTAGGGGGCACAGAAAAGGAAGGAGAAAGGGTGAATAAAGGTAGCCATTACATTCAATATACACATGTGAAAACTGAACTATGTAACTTTTGGGTATGGACTGGAGGAGAAAAATGAGGAAGAAGCAAGGAAGGGGTGATATTGTCAAGAAACATTTTACCCATAATCTGATTTATGGAATTGTAACCCCTTGACACAACTACTTAATCAAAACAATAAAATAAAAATAATATAGAAAAGGTACTACTTTGCTATATTAATTAATTGGTTAACTTATACTTCTATATTTATCTATAAAAATCACATTATAAAATCAGACTTAAAAAGAACACAGTGTACTCACTACCTTACTCATGTAACTGTAACCCCTCTGTACAGTATTTTTATAATAAAATATATATACAAAAAGAATTTAGGCAAAAGTACAATGAAAATGATACTATCTCCTTAGTTTTTATAAGACAAAAGCCATCAACAAGCCTATTTTAGGTACCCATAATATGCCAGTATTCAATCTTCATGAATCTATTTTGAACAATATGTATTCAATAAGGAAAGTGGGTTCAAGAGGGAAGGAAAAGAAAAGGGAAAAAATAGATTCATTCAAAAGACTCTAAAGGCAGTCTGGGGAGGCTGAGCCAAGGAACAGAGGCAGAAAATGAGAGTGGAAGATGGGAACCCAACAGAGAAGCAAAAATAAAAAAGCAAAAAAAAAAAAAAAATGGAGCCAACTAAAGTATAAAGCTGCTTCAGTGGACACTGGTGGAAGAGGCACATTGCATTCTTTTATAGCCTGATTTTCACTTGCACGATGTCTACTTTTCACCAATAACTCTTTCTGTGTGTGATTTTGATTGCATATAGTAATCTCTTTCCTGTTTTCAACGAAAATTTAAATGTAAAAACTGTTTTCAGGTGCTAATCTTAGCTATTTAGTTTACCCTACTCAGAAAGAAATAACCATAGAAACAACTGAACTAAATTATTTACCACTGGATAGAAATGACTTGTATCTAAATCAGTAAATTATTCTTCCTTGTCTCTTCGTTATTCCAGTAGGATTAACATTTAATTAATATATGAGTTGAAAGTGGAATAAAAGGAAATCCAGAGTACAAATCATCCCATATTTACATGTTATGGTTTTAAACTCTCAACAAAATTATAATAAAACCCAAAGCATTTCACTCACCTTGTTTACTACTGACAGAGACAACTGAGTCAGAACCATCATACAGAACACTGCCAATAACGGAAAGCTCAAAGTCAGCCCAATAAATGCGTTCACTAAAATGATCCACAGCCAGACCTGAAAAATCAACAATGAAAGAAATCTGAGATTCCTAAAACTTATTTTTATTTTGTGGTGTGTAATTACAATTAATATTTTCTTTGAAGACCACACAAGTTATACATTGTATACATCACAGTACTGTCAAAACCAAAAAACAAAAACAAAAAACTAAAACTTGAAATTCCCTAATTCTTATTATAGATAAACATGCTCAATTGAACAACATTTAGTAAGTTATAAACAAAAATCTTATGTCATATATCTAAAACAACATTAATATGCATTTTATTATGCGTTCTGATTTCTTAATTGCAGCTGTAATAATCTTTTACATGATGTCTTAATCTTCCTAGCATATGAAGAATATATTAGTTACTTAAATCACTGTTCTGACAATTATTCCACAAATCTATATTTCCCATAATGGATTTAAGATATAGCCTTCATTGTGAGACACCTATATTCATGTTGAAGTATAAGTGACTGTATAACTGATATTTGCAATAGGAAAGGTAATAATAATAATGATTCTTTTTTAGCCTAATAATTAATTTCCTCTGAAATTGTTTCCTCATTTTCTATTATATCTTAAGTCTTTGCAAGTGATAACATAAGCTAAAATAATGTATAGTAAAAAGCCATGCAGGAAGTGGCACTGTGGGTCAAGCAGTAGAGTACTTGCCTTGAGCTGAAGAACTGAGGGATAGCACCCAAGCCCACAGTTCAAGCCCCACGACCAACAAAAAAACAAAAAACAAAAATAATAAGCCATGCATTTGTTTCATTTTTTATGTTTTGTAAATATGTTTTGCATTTGTATTTCATGTTTTGTAAAATATATTAAGTTTGTAAAAATGATTGAAATTCATACACTCTTCTCTTTGGGACAGGTCATCATCAAATAGACTATCATAGACAATTTCTTTAACAGGAGAGTCAGGAACTATGACCCAGACTGTATTAAACAACTACAAATATAGACATTTATCCATGTGAAATCCACTTTAGTTATACATAGTACATATTTTGAAAGTATAATATATTCAGAATATTCTCAGTAGAATGTTAAAGAACTTACCCAATTAGAACACATAATGAACAATTAGGGTATATGTCAATATCAATGTGGTGGATTAAAGGTATTATTTGAGTTTATGCTAAATTTGCAATCTTATGGACCAAGTTTTAACAATTAGAATAACAAAATGCAATCAAGGTAAATTGTGGCTAATTATTCAGTTCACCATATGGATCTGTTCTAAATCTTTACAAACCAAAAATAAATATTGTGCTTGAAAAAACATAGAATTGTACTGTCCAATGATTTGCTGAGAAATTATTTAACAATTAAAGCAAGTGGTCCGTGCTTCGTTAGTTTTTACTGAATGATTAATGTACTATTTGAACACATGTTTGGAATTATATTTTGGTTTCTTTATTTATCAATATGAGTAACATGATGCATTGAATGTTCCATTCCCTGCTCCATTTATAATGGTCAAAACAATTGTTACGGAAAAGTTGCAAATTACTTTCCTATTGGGTATAGTGGCTCAAGTCTATAATCCTTGCTAACTAGGAGATCAAGTTTGGAGATCAAGTTTGTTACCAACTCTGGCAAAAGAACTATATACAACTATCTCCCACAATATCTCAGGGTAGTGTCCCGTATTTGTTTTCTCTGTGTCCTGAAAAGCACGGTGTTTGTAAGTGATGTGCATAGTGACATGGAAACACATAATTAGGAAGATTACAGATCAGGCCAAAGTAAGAAAAAGAAAGAGAAACAAGGAAGGAAGGAAGGAAAGGAGGGAGGGAGGGAGGGAAAAGAAGGAAGAAAGGAAGAAAGAAAAAAAGAAAGAAAGAAAGCCCTATCATAAAATTAATTAGTGTACCAAAACTTGAGATATAGCACAGTGATAGCAAGCAAGCAAATAAGCCCTAATTCAATCTCAAGTAGTACAGCCTCTCTTCCCCTGCTGAATGTATTTTCTTTCTCCTCTATGAATTCAGAACAACTAAGTTGATACAACAAAAAGCTCTCCAACAAAATTGTTTGTATATTTAAAGGTATTGCATTAATTATGGAAGAGAAAAAAATATAGGAAGCATGTGTGATCCAATTTAATTAACTATATTGTTTCTCATATTAATCACAAGCAGCAGTATAAAGTCAATAAAAGTGTCACACAGGTATCAATGGCTCACACCTGTAATACTAACAACTTAGGAAGCTCAGATCTGAGGATTGCAGTTAAAAGTCAGCCTGGGAAAGAAAGTCTGTGAGACTCTTATCTCAAATTAGTTACCAAAAAGGTAGTGCAGGCACTGTGACTTAAAATAGTAGATCATTAGCCTGAAGCACAAAACCAGGGAGAGTGCCAAAGCCTTTGGTTCAAGCTATAGGACTAATATCAAAAAATAAAATAAAATCACATAGTATATTAAGGCTACACACACCTTTATCAGTTTTTGTCACATAGTGTATTATTGGATTGAATTACATCTATTTGAAAATTATATAACAAAGTTTTTGGATGAGTGGGATTTTTATTGCAAAAAAATCCACAAATCAATGATTATGATCTTTCCTTAAGCCTTTTAATAAAAGAGATAGCCTTTTAAATTAAAAAGTTAATAAAGGAATCAACAAACTTTTTCTATGATACTGATAAAAATCGAGTTTATAGAAAAAAAGCACACACATACGCACTTTTAACGTATCACATCTTTTGTATTTAATAAAGAACCAATAATAAAATAGACAGGTCATTTTCCAAAAGGTCTTAACTGAACTGGAAATATAAAAAATACATATAATCAAGGTATTAAGAATACACAAAATTTAAAACAAAATGCTTTCTTATTTTAATTAAGCATAACAATCACAATTTGAAAGGTTTATAAAGGATGTAGACATACACTAAATTTCACTTGTAAATGATAATTGCATTAGTCATTTACTCATTCCCTTAATTGTCTGTCTCTTGTGACAGACAAAACAAAACAAAGGACATTTTGGGGGTATTTGGGATGTTACTTTTTTAAGTCAGAAAAAATTCAAAAACCTCTATTAGTTTCTCTATTTCTAATATAGACTAAAGGAGAAAAATGAAATAAGCAACTATTGTAAGAAACAACCACAGTAGCAATGAAATATTAAAGACAGAACACCTAGAGTGATTAATATGGTTAAATCATTCTTTTCAGAAATATATAAAAGGATTATATACATTCTGTGTTTGAGAGGAAACCAATATTTTTCATACAGTAAAAACCAACAAGTTATGCTACCATGTTTTTACTTAGTAGATGAGGGATCAAGAAAGTTTGATGGATGTGAGTTTGTGTGTGTGTGCACTCATGTGGCTGCACACATATGGAATTATCATCTATCAGACAGAATATTATGGCATTTTCAGGGAAATGAAGAGACTAAGAACAGTTATGCTAAGTGATGTAACAACTCAGGATCAAAGAGAAAAATAGCATGTTTTTTCCCCTTATATTTCGAAGTTATATGCAGAATATAAACAAACATGAAAATATATAGAGTTATGCATATGTGTACACAATTTGCTAAAGTGTGATATATTTATGAGAGGATTCCAATGGTGTTACTCATCTGAACAGCTGGAAAACTATTTAATAAAATGAATAACAGGAAATTGAAACTTCTTTGTTTAGGGACAGGAATGCAAGCAGAAGTGGGCAGACAAATAGGTAGAGGAAAAGCAAGAGAAAACAGCCATTATGTTCAATGTACATATATAAAAATGTAATCAGGCAATTTGAGGGTTTGGATGGGATTAAAAAGATGAGGAGATTTGAAGGCAAGGGTGACATTTATCATTATACTGTACTTCTGATCTGATTTCTTGAAATAAAAAATGCTTAAAAATTTGAAGGAAAATAATATGGGTATTGAAGTTCTAGAAGATACTACATCATAAAATATATTTTAAAAAATTTAAACTGTTTCTGAGGTACATTTCCTATTTATAAGCTGAAGTTCCAAACTACACTCAGTATTTGTTTTATAAACAGATTTTTTCAAATAGACATATTTATTATGGGGCTAACAAAATAAATACTTCAACAAAAGGCATAGTAATCCTAAAATTTTATGTTTTATTTAGAGACTTTCTATTGGTGAAGTACAATCTATTTGTTTAGTGAATTAAGAAACTGTGACTGGTTAAGATTAAATAAATTCCTTAATTTTTGTTCAAATATCACAATTTGAAGAGATAGGCAACATAAATAAGCCTCTAGATATCAAAAGTATGTTATTTAAATTAATATCACATAATCCTACATACTCGTATATCAAAAGGAAAACTAGGCAATGCTTTTATTCCCACCTTATATTAATCCAGTGTGTATAGGACTATCTTCCTTGTACTAGTACATAGAGGTCTTGAAACCATTCCATTGGTTAGAGTGTTAAATGTTGTAGCTACCCATTTATTTATTCATTCAATACATTTATTTTTAATAATTTGCTCATTACAGTCACTATAATATGTCTAAAGGGCTATAGCAAAAATATTAATAATGGCTTTTGATGCAAGTCATTTATAGGTTTGCTTCACAGAGCATGCTATAAAGAGCTAATAACATAATGCATCATTAAAGCAGTGGATAGATGACTGTGTACCAAGAATTGAAAGAGTAAGTGCTATAAAGCCTCAGAGAACAAAAGTGTTCTCATCGTGATTTAAGAAAGTTTGTAATGGCAGTGCTCATATAGGCTTTGATTTCATGGTAGAACTCTCACTTCAGATCATACAATTGGACAGGGACAAGTTCATTTGCATTTTTGTTGCTCATCCTGCTGGTAGCAGCTGTATCTTGTCAAAGTACAGAATATGATTGAATGTACTGTATATCAGTGAAATTATTCACCTCCGGATGGAAAAAGGAAAGGTGTCATTGACTGTAAACTCACAATAAAAAGAAAACAATTCAATCCTTGAAGATAAATATACATCTTGTTGTGGTTACTGATTTTA